CCTTTTTTCCATTTTTTTAATTTTTTTTTTTTTTTTTTTTTTACAATGGTGAAAGGCCAATTAAATTACAACGGTGAAAGGCCAATTTAAATACTTTGTCTGTCCAGGCTTGTAAACTCTTCTGTAGGAAGAAACTTCCTGTAGACAAGTTATTCCACATTTGCACCTTCTCCTAAAACATTTGGTATTGGTCACTGTCAGAGACCAGATACCCTGCTAGTGCTAGCTGGGTACTAGTTTAATTCTGTATGGTAATTCCTATTTTCTTAAATTTAAAAAGTTATAAGATTTAAATAAGATGTATGATAAACTGTGCTTACAGCATTTTAAAGGAGTTACAATCATATTTAGTGTATAGCTATATGGAATAAGTACACTGTAACCAGATTATTTAATATTAAACTTGAATTTTTTTTCCAATGTACTGTCTGTCTTATCTTCCCACTCCAAATTGAAAGTAGACAGCACTTTATATTTAAGTGTTTTAGTTCATAAGGAAGATTTAATGAGCGACTAAGAGCTTCGAAACTTTTTTGCACAAAGCTTGTTGTACAATTGTGCCTGTATGTTGGCTTGATTTTAAAATCTCACTTTTCACTTCCTTTTTTACAAATTTCTAATTGTAACAATACCAGCTTACTGAAATTAAATTGAATACAATAAATGTTTATATAAAACTGAAAATAGTTACAGTTCGAAACTGAGTTCACTGAATTCTTATGTACTCTTGTTTTCTTGCTAGCAGACAGCTCACTGTGTCCAATATCCTTTGTCTTTTGTAGGAGTATATCAGTATTGCCAACTGCGGCTGCATATAACAACAAAGCTCAAGCAGAAATCAAACTTAAGGACTGGCACAGTGCTTTGCAGGATTGCGAGAAAGTATTAGATATGGAGCCTGGCAACCTAAAAGGTAAAATTAAATGTAAACTTTTCTGAGGATAATTTTGTTTTTAACAAAAGAGAACGCTAGTTCAGGATCCATTGAAGCCAAAGGGAGATCTTTCTATTGACTTCCATGATCACTAGGTCAGATCCCAACTGTGGAAGACTAGCTCCCCCTGCACTTAATTTCTTAATGGTAGTTTTGAGATTTGTTCAGATTTTGCTCCTGTGCTGGCTGATTTTTCTGGAACTGGCTGAAGCTACAAGAAGGTGGAAGCATGCAGCCAGATCATGCATTCAGAATGATTGCTAACAGCCTCATAGTGCATAGTTTCTTAATACTCATAGAGAGGCATTCCTTTTAGCAGTTCTAACAGCTAAATTAAACTGCAGTGAAAGACGTTGGTGTTGTGCTTTCTTACTAAGCTAAGTATTTGAAACCTAGTTAACTAAACTTGGACTACAAGAGTCTAGTACAAGAGAGTAGGTGTTGGGAAAATATTAGAATTGTAATATTTCACGTATTACCATATAACAATAGAATGTCATGTCGAATTATGTTGCCAAAAAAAGTAGAAAATTGGTTAACGATTAACACACGGTTATTGTAAAGTAGATGTAAGCTTTTATTTAATACAGAATTATTTTATATTTACATTGTAAATTTTGTTACCATATTTACTCAAATATAAGCCAACCCTGATTATTAGATGAGTCCCCAGTAGATTCTGTATATGGAAAATTTATAAATTTGATACAATTTTCCAAGTATAGAATCTAATTATTGGAGGTTTGTCTTGATTTTTTTTTCCAACCTCCCACTGCTACAGCAAGGAAAATAAATCTGGGGGGTCAGGTAGCCCTTTTGCCTGGCTCCCTCCCCCCAACTTCTTCCCTCTGAAGCCCTTTCCTCCCTCCTTAGTGTCAGACCCTGCTCTCCCTGAGCACATGGAAGTGAGGAATAAATTTGAAAAAAAATGACCTTGAAATAAACATAGCTGTAGCAATTTGCATATAACACCTATAGCCTTAGTTCACGCAGAAATAGTGCATATTACCTTTTTGAAACAGCTGCAAGTTTTACCACAGGTACTCTGTAAACATACTTTTGTGTGGCATTTTAGTACTTCCTATATATAATACAGATTATGCATTATATTAATCCATACCAAAAGGGTCATGATTTACCATATCCCTTCCATCCCAGGGAAGGTCTTAGAAAAGTTTATTAAAGAGGCCATCCTTAATGGACTGGCCAATGCCAGCATCCTGAGGGATAGCCAGTATGGGTTTGTTGCTGGTAAGTCTTGCTTGACCAACCTCATTTCCTTTTATGACCAGGTGACCTATCACCTGGACAAGGGAGAAGAGATTGATGTCATATATCTTGACCATGATCACTTCTTGGTGAAACTGACCAATTGTGGCCTTGGGTCCACCACGATCTGCTGGCTGGGGAATTGTCTCCGTGGCTGGACCCAAAGGGTGGTAACTGACGGAAGTCAATCATCATGGTGCCCTGTGACCTGTGGGGTCCCCCAAGGCCCTGTCCTTGGACCCATACTGTTCAACATCTTCATTTAATGATGTGGACATTGGAGTCAGAAGCGGACTGGCCAAGTTCGCCAGTAACACCAAACTTTGGGGCAAAGCGTCCACATCTAAAGACAGGAGGGCTATCCAGGCTAACATGGACAGGCTCAGCAGATGGGCAGAGGAGAACCTGATGGTGTTTAACACTGAAAAATGCAAGGTTCTCCACCTTGGTAGGAAAAATCTGCAGCGTCCTTATAGGCTCAGCAGTGCTACACTGGCTAGTACTATGGAAGAAAGAGATTTGGGGGTCGTCATTGACCACAAGATGAACATGAGCCTTCAACGCAACGCTGCAGCTAGTAAAGCGACCAAAACGCTGGCTTGCATCCATAGATGCTTCTCAAGGAAATCCCAGGACGTCATTCTCCCCTTGTACTTGGCCTTGGTGAGGCTGCAGCTGGAGTACTGCGTCCAGTTTTGGGCCCCACAATTCAAAACGGATGTGGAGAAGCTTGCGAGAGTCCAGAGAAGAGCCACGTGCATGATCAGAGGTCAGGAAAACAGACCTTACGATGACAGGCTGAGATCTATGAGGCTCTTTAGCCTGGAAAAGTGCAGGCTCAGGGGTGATCTGATGGCCACGTATAAGTTTATCAGGGGTGACTACCAGTACCTGGGGGAACATTTGTTCACCAGAGCGCCTCAAGGAGTGATGAGGTCGAACGGTTATAAACTACTGCAAGACTGTTTCAGGCTGTACATAAGGAAGATTTTCTTTACTGTCCAAGCCCCCAAGGTCTGGAATAACCTGCCATCGGAGGTGGTTCAAGCACCCATAATGAACACCTTCAAGAGCAAATTGGATGTTTATCTTGCTGGGATCCTATGACCCCAGCTGACTTCCTGCCCTTTGGGTGGGGGGCTGGACTCGATGATCTTCCGAGGTCCCTTAGAGCCCTAATGTCTATGAAATCTATGAAATATAACTTATTAGGCTGGGTCCCAACCAAGTCCAACAGCATTTCAACCCATGGTGACCCCACAGCTTGGCATGTATATGTACTCCAGATACCATCCCCACAAAGGATCCATGTACTGATTAGCCTACCTGTCATGATTGGAACATGGGTGTTCTTGTCATGAATCCTGGAATCCTTCAAAAATTCATATGCACATGAGGCATAGGGCAAGCTCATGGAGGGCAGAGCCACACTAATTATACGAGACAGGCTGGGTGGGGGGAAATGGAGGGATTTGGGGTAAATTGCTTGGGGCCCCATTTGGTGATGTTTGCCAGACATTTAAGGCTGGTGAAGAAACAGGAATAATTGGAAATGGGAAAGAAAGGTGCATCTCAACTGTGGGAGTGAAGAAGTTGAAACACATGCAGTGTAGTGGCTCACCATGACTTGAACAAGAGTCAGTGCTGAGGGGGGACTGCACTCAATGGGCTCTACCACATATTTTATTCAGATGGGTTGTGCTAATCTATGTTTGTTGAGAGCCATGTAGCCATGTACTTTATAATTATGCTCTGTGTTGGCTGTTTTTGATCAACTTCATAGTTAGTTTCCATTACTGAGCACATGGTGCTTTTCACAGTAGTTCGGAGATAGTCAGTGTATTTAATGTGGTTTCTTTGCATGCAAATAAAAAAGAGGGGCTTTTCCCCTCATGTTGATTGAGGGAGGACCTCATCTCACACATGAGTAAATATGGTAAATATAAATTGTTGTTTGACACACAATTTGGGACAATGCAATACAAATGTGTTCTTTGTTAATTTGTAGCTCTTATGCGCCATGCCACTGCAAATAAACATCTACAGAATTACCAGGCAGCTATAGAGGATTTGACCGAAGTATTGTACATTGAACCAGAAAATGCAGTAGCCAAGGTAAAGAATATCACTTGGTATTTCTAGAACAAGCATTGTCAACTGAGGGGTATGCAGGAAGGCCCTAGGGGTCTGTGTGGGTGGGCCAGGATGGAGCGCCACCACCCACAACCCTGTGCCACTGCCTCCCAGGGGCAGGGCAGTGGGGGAGGGGTGGTGAGGGTAGTGCCGCCCCTCTATAGGCCGCACAGGCACCACCTGCCCAGCTAGATTGGTGGGGAAGCTCATATGCAGTGGCCCCCACTGCCACTCACCACCCCGCACTACCACCACTGTGCATCTGGACATACCTCCCTCTCTCTTCCCCCCAGCTCTGCGTCTGGCTGCTGGTGGTACACTTCATAGATTCATACATACATAGATTGTAAGGAGCTGGAAGGGATCTTGGAAAATCATCAGGTCCAGCCCCCTCCACTAGGCAGGGAAAAACAACTGGGGTCAGGTGACCCCAGCAAGGTGACCGCCCAGTCTTCTTTGGAAGATTTCCAGGGTAGGCAATTGCATCACTGCTGGAGGGAGCTTATTCCACAGGCTGGACATCCTAACTGTGAAGTTTTTCCTAATGTTGAGCCTGAAACGGTCTTCCAGAAGTTTGTGGCCATTAAAAAAGGTTGAAAACCCCTGACTTAAGCATCCCTACCCTGTGCTGGTTGTTATGAACGCCATTCCTTGGCACCTAACTCTTCCCATGCATTACACATAGAACTTCAGTGTATAACTAGGGTTTGGGATTTCCACTCCCAGTCTGAGAGTGGCCTCACTTTTCTGAACAAGCTAATTTACTTTACTTTGAGGCCTCAACTACTGCCTTTTGATAATGGCAAATGCACAGGTATAAAACTTAAAAGATCCCAGTTAAAACACTTGTAAACCTACCAACATACATTTTTATATATATATATATATATACATA